CTACCTAAACTGCTCCTTCTGTATTATTCTTTCAGCACTTATGCAAGATAACATATTCAGAGATGTAAGTCATGCTCCTTCTACATAAGCTTGCAGGACATTTTTTGACTGTCAAATCCAAGCACAAGAGCTTTTGGGAACTGTTTGTCCTTAATGGAAGCTTTCCAAATGTTGTAATTTAAAGAACTTACTCTCATTGTGTTTATAACTGTTAAATAAGAATATTATTAAAATGAAAAAAAAATGCCTGTAAGAGATACTGAGTTTGAAATAGCTTTTTATTCAGTATGTTTACTTCAGTATCTCAAAGGAATATGGTGTGCCTGAGCAGTGAATTTTTATTTCTGGAACTCTGATTTGGTTCAAAGGTTCATAAAAGTTCAAGCAACTAAATATCTCCTAAAGTTATAAATATGAGGACATTCGAGTGAGATTGTTCCAGCAAGAGTCTGAACTAAATTAAATTATGAATTTGCCTCATGGAATGCCTTTTTAATAATGAAAATGTAAAGATCTTTTTTGTTTTGTACTTATATTTTTGGTAAAAGCCAGTCCTTTCTGTTAATAATAATGTCATTATCAAATTCTTTTGATCATGTTATAAATTTATAAGTTTTTGAGGATTTCTTAGTCCATTATATAATTATGCTCTCCTCAGGGGTTTCTTCTGCACTGGGGAAGAAATCTGGATGTCTAAGAACATCCTTTTTTTTTTTTTTTTTTTTTTTTTTTTTTTTTTTTTTTTTTTTTTTTTTTTTTTTTTTTTTTTTTTTTTTTTTTTTTTTTTTTTTTTTTTTTTTTTTTTTTTTTTTTTTTTTTTTTTTTTTTTTTTTTCTTTTTTCTCTTGGAGTCCTTGCATTTCACTCGACACTATCTCCTGCATAAAGTGTAACTGAATAGAAAGGATTGTAGTTTGGAGATTTATAAGACTGGAGGATCTTACACTGTGCCCCTGAAACACAAATATGTGGGGAGAACTGCATGCACAGAATATCTATATGTCCCAGCAACTATTGAGTGCTGTTCTTTGGCATTGTCAGCTCTGAAGATTTTAGCTATTTCATAGTTAGTCTGAGACGAATGATAAAGCTGAAAATGTGGTCTGTAGAATTCAAAAATACTGAGCAGTGCTTCCTTTATATTTCTATACTAACGTATCCTCACAATCTTAGAGCAAAATAGTGATATTGTTTACAAATTTTTTTCTTTTTTTTTAACCTCTATTGTAAAGGCATTCTTATAAACTGGTTAGTTTCCTTTGCTCTGCACTCACCAGTGTCCTCTGGTAGTTTGATATGATTGTTTTTTGATACATGAATCATTTACAAAATTAACTTCTTTATTCATGTTTCAAAGAACTTCAGGGAGTCTGTGATCTAAATTGTCATTGAATGCAATTTATCTACTTTGAATTTGTTTCTCTTTTTTTTTTAATTGATGTGTTGAGAATTTAATACTAAGTGTTGTTATGTAAATACTCACCCACCTCTTTAAATATCTGTGATACAACATTTATACTGCGTGACAATAGAAACATCGGGTTTATTTGTTGCTTAATATTGATACATATGTAAGTTTTATATGTTTCTCCACATGTTGGGAATGCAATTTTTAATTTCAATGAAATTAATTTTCCTTAATCTGCCTTGGACAGCACAGATTTAGTAAACGTATGCAATAATTCTATATTAAAAGAAGCTTTGAAGAATACTGACATTAAACAGTAAATTATTAGTGTAACACTGAGGTTTAATATGAGAAATTTGAAAGCTGTGAAGAGGCAAAATGTCTTTGACCTTGAATGGAGTTTGGCCTCCTGTGTAGACCACAGGATTGAGTTCTATAGAAAAAAAGCTTGTTCTGTCTTTATGAGCATCATTCACCCTTGCAGTGGGAAGCAGTATCTTGAACATGATTATTATAGCAGATAGTGTATGTGTGTGTATATATATACATATATATACACAGCAGCACAAGGTATATATGTGTCGTTTATATTTTGCTATTCAGTTGTTGTCTCCTCTAATTTTCCTTTACTGCTCTCTGAATAATAAATATGCTTGCAAGAAAGCAAGTATGCACAAATACCACAATATTTTCAAAATCAGAAGTCAGCAATCACATATTTTAAGTTGCATAATTCCAGATGTACAAAATGTACATGAAATCCTGTATTAATTCCTGTGTATTTTCAGGACATTCTATTTTAATTGTTATTCACAGCCTACTTTACAAACCCATATTGGAGTTTGAATCCCAGAAAGCTTGATATTCACATATTTCACTGATTATGGAGACAAAGAACTGTTTGGACATTAACCTCTTAAATAAGATTTGAAATATTATTTTTAGGAAATAGAAATGTTTGTGCTGTATCTCTGGTCCTGTGTGGCTTCTAATGTTTTCTACCTTCCATCCACCTCCTAAATCTCATTATATGACAGCTGAAGATATTATGACTTTCAAATATTATTTTTCCTAAAAACAGTTGGCATCACTGGAATCAAGGGAAGTCAATGGGGATTTTCTGTTTCTGCAGACATCATACATTCCACTTAACACTACCAAGAAACTTATTCTGAGTGGTATATTAGGATTTTTTTCTGATGTTCTCAAATAAATATTGCATAATGACGTCTTAAAACAACCAAGATTAAATAACATTTTCTTCTATGAAAATTCTAAGATCAAATTTTAATGTCTAAGTTAAACTTAGCATTCTTCTCATTTTTTAAAAAAATGAATATTAAAGCATCTTTTCTTCAAGCACTTAAAGCATCATTTTTCTTCAGTTGTCTTTCTGCCTGCTGTATTGTTATTGAAATTTGTGAGGGTGGTAGATAAAAAAAAGGACAAAACTATTGCTTTTTCAGCAATTGTGCAGCTTCAAAAGATACTATAAAACACTGTTGGCTTAATGTATATTTGAAATATATCTGATAACTGAAATATTTAGCTGTGTTTTTCACATACCGTTTTGTTCAGAAAGCTGCACAACATTTGCGAGATTTGATATTAGGTGTCTCTACTTAAGCTGTTTACTATTCATCTGTATCATGAGTGTGCTAATACGTGGGCCTCTTTCTAGGTGTTTGATCATTTGCATGATTTGACTGTCAGCGTTTACAGGCTATTCATAAGAATTAGATGCACTTGAGCCTCATTGTATTTTAAGTTTATCCTTTTATATCAAGTAACATATTGAGTAAGTTAACTAAGCCTTTTGTCTTTGTTAATAAAGAAGTATATTTGCCTTCCTAGGAACGTTCATTTCATTTTTATGTCTAGTATACAAAGTCTTCAGAAAGATCACAGGCAAAAGAAAGTCAGTGCACTAATATGGTATACATTGAATTCACCAGTGTGTTTCTTTTTCTTATTTCAACATCATATGTGTTTCTTTGCTTGTAATATTATTGCAGTGGAGATAAGAACTACACCTGAAGTGGATATAAAGGACAATGGAGTTAAAAACGGGTCCACAAATGCAAAAATTTATTTTGCTTTGGTTTTGTTTTATATTATGATTAATCTTTCTTTTCAGGTATAGAGCCAGCTGAATTAGAAAAAAACATTAATTTATGATCGTTACTTTCTTAAGCAACAGACTGGGGCATTTTTCCAAGAAACAAACTGAAAAGTTTGTATGTATGTATTGGCAGGAAGTTGAAGATTGTTTTCTGACTCTAAAGCATGTGTACAAAGAGTCCAGACTTTAGTTTATTATAAACGTTAAAAAGATGAAGGGTCAAGAAGAGCAATGCAGATGAGGAGTTTTTTGGCCATTTATATGCTCTGTAGCATGCTGGAAATACTTTTCTAACCTTGACGAGGACACTGTTTGTATATTTCTCCTTCTCAGCCCTTGAATTGGATTTAATTTTGAGTAATCTGCTACTGTCTACTGAACAGCTACGTAAATTCAGAACACAACTGTAGTAGTGGGTTGGTCCTTTCCTGCTCCTGAATTTGTGTTCTTTGCATTATGTTTTGTTTTGTTTTTTTCTTCCCTAGTATTATCTTATTTTCTGCTTCATTGCACACCCTGCTCCCTACTAATGACAAATATTATCCATTTAGTAAGGATTGAGAAACAGTATTTACTAAACAGTGTGAAATGTTTTGTTACTTTTGATCCTGGATGGTATCCGCCAAGCTGAAGCTCGTTGATCATGCAAGGACTTACTTATACGTGCATTTAATTTTCAGCAAATAATAGGCTTCACCTGCCTGTCTGGGAATATTCTGGTAGGCTGTTTTTTTTTTTTACTTTCTGAAAGTATGGCTATCATTCATTTAAACATGCTCAGCCTATCCATATGACAGCTAGTTCAAGTGTTGCAAGCAGTAGAGTTAGAGTTGAACTAATTTTTGTGTGATTTAGATAATTTTTGAATGGTTTTGTAGCCAGAGTTGATCTGTATTTGTACCTAAATATACAGTTTGGAGGAAAGGTTGCATATTTCTACTGAAACTTTAATCTTGTGCTAGCTGGAGCAGGGGTTTGCTTAAAATAAGACTTAGTGTTGTGCCTTAAAAAATAGTTTAAAGTTTATAGTTAAATGCTTAAAAATAGTTTAAAAGTTTAAGTTTGTGATGTATATTTTCATCCTGAAAATAGTTTCTTTCTTTTTCTTTTTCCTTCAAGTTTATTAACTTTGAATAATTAATTGATCTTGAAGAGCTTAATCAACAGGGAGGTTTTTTTTTTTTTATTAAGAAATTACAGTTACACAGATATAAATCTCTTAGTAAATAATATGTGGAAATTCAGTTTGGTATGCATTTTTTTTTTTTAATAGGTGAAAAAAATCTTTTTGGCTTGACTAAAATTATGTTTCTCTTCATGGTGACGTGGTAGTGTCCTTTGCTTAAATGGCATTTTTTTTTATTTGCAGTGACTATTAGCAGCTCTGAAAGTTACACTTTTTTTTTTAATGGATTTATGGCAAGTTTTGTTAATGACATACTAAAGTTAACTTTATATTTTATTATTTCAGTTGTTCATGGTGGACAATGGAGCAGATGACTGGAGAATAGCCATGACTTATGAGCGTATTTTCTTTATCTGCTTGGAAATACTGGTGTGTGCTATACATCCCATACCTGGGAACTATACATTCACATGGACAGCCCGACTCGCCTTTTCTTACGCTCCATCCACAACAACAGCTGATGTGGATATTATTTTATCTATACCAATGTTCTTAAGACTATATCTGATTGCCAGAGTTATGCTATTGCATAGCAAACTTTTCACTGATGCCTCATCTAGAAGCATTGGAGCATTAAATAAGATAAACTTCAATACACGTTTTGTTATGAAGACTTTAATGACCATATGTCCAGGAACTGTACTGTTGGTTTTTAGTATCTCATTATGGATAATTGCTGCATGGACTGTCCGAGCTTGTGAAAGGTAAGTTTGTTCTGTCTGGTTAATCCTCTTTCTCCTATTTGTCCCTCTTTTGCTGCTTTGATTTGATCTTCAGGAGGACCTAAATGTTTACTGGAATGGCGTTTGTTGGTCCTCGATGTGTGAAGTGCCAGGTGCATTGCCCTGTGTCACTGAATGTCAGGAGGGCTTTGCCTTTTAGTCTGAAGAACTTTGTAGAAAGATTTGTGCCGCAATGTTCACTGTAGCATTGCTATTTGATCTTGATATTTTGATCAAACTTATTACATATTTGCTATAACAGGGGACAATGCTATAAAATGTCTTTAATGATACTTTTAGTTATTCTACATTAATATCAGCTTTCATTTGTATTGTTTGTTTGAGAAATTAATTCAGAGTAATGCAGATAAAATAATTATGGACATTTCCAAAGAAAAAAGTACTTTTTTGCCCCCTTTAAAAAAAGGCAAATGCAAAATTTAGGTACGTAGGCAAGATCAAAGAAGGGGAAGAAGCAGGAATTGCAATGATGTAACTGTTTTGGGTTTTCTTTCTCTAAAGACCAAAGAAAAAAAGTGCGTTTGAGAAGATTTTCATGGATTTCACCTAGTTTTCAGACCCTGACTCCCAGATATCAGTAGAATGTAGCTGTAGAACAGATGGCTACCAATGCTGACAGCTTGAAATTAAGTTTCTAAAGGATACTTTTAACAAAAAAGAATTGATCATGTAACTTTTGGTTGGACAGGTCTGTTTGGGGATGTTCCCTGTGCAGAGCAGGCTAACTTGAAGGAAACAATTATTCCTGATTCTTTGGGAAAGATTTAATGCCTGTAGCGGCTCTCAGATCAGCTGTTGGATTTCTACTAACTTAAACTAGAATAACTTCTTCAACATGTTTAGATTATGTTATTTGTTGTTATCATTTTGTTTTTCCACTTCCTTTCCCTGTCTTGCTCTTTTTAGAATCAATTCAGAGGAGTTATTTGTTACTTTGCTGATTTAGGCCAGCAATTAAAATGCAAGCCAACTGTTATGGTCAGGTTACTTTTGGAAGTTATTCGTTGCCTTACTTCTCTAGCTGTTACAAAGAAAAATAGTTGACCTTGTGAACTGATTAAGGATACCATCTTGACCTTGCTGCTTTTGCTGTTAATTTTCCCCAAATTGTGGAATAGTTTTTGTTCCATTAGATGTCTTATACAAGTGTAGTGTCTTGTGCACTTCCATTATGGCAAGGCTAATGAGTTGTAAACGTGCCACAATAACATATTTTACTTTCAAAATATTGTCCATTGTTGGAGCAGGTGGAACATTCCAAATGTTAAACTAGTCTAATTTTGCTAAACTTCTCATTGTCTCGTATTTTTGACTGCCGTTCTCACCAGTTTTCTTTCAACAACATGCATTTGTGTAGGAATTTCCCAAGTTGTCACTTTTTAAATTGCTGTGAGCAAGTTCAGCATCCTCTGTCATCAGTACACATCACTGATTAATAATTTGCAGTATTTTATTATAATGAACTAATACCTTAATTAAAAATTCATTCTATTACTAACTTTTAAATGCATGTTAAAAATAACCATATAAAGCTTTTCTCTATCACCTTGAAAAATACTGAACAAGAATGGAGGCATTTTTGCATCAGTGTGATCCTTGGGTGGAAGCTTAGTTGTGAAGTCAGGTACACTGAGCTGAGAGTTGTGATAGGGACTGACCTTTTCAACTCCCTAGTGAACTAATGGCAGATATAGCACATTTCAAATTGCAGTTGCTGTTCTTGAAGTGACTGTAAGGTTTGGGATGACAAGCTGAATAACCACTGACTTTTAAAAACAAAACAAAATTAAAAACAATTTAAAAATAAACTCAAATTTTAAAATCTTAGGTATTGGATTAACCTATCCCTAGTAAATTTAGCTTCTTCAGTGGAGTCCGATCAAAGATCATATCCCTTAATATTTAACAGAGGAATTGCATTTCAAAAACACTAAAAGGGGTAGTTTTTGGCTTTGGGAGCTAATTGTACACCCAGTTCTATGAATGTTGTGCCTCAGCTTTTCCCTGGTGAGGATATATGAATATTCTGGTGAGTGAAAGTGGTTTTTGGTTCCTGCTCCTATTTACTAGTTAGTCCAGTGAGAACATGTAGGTTCTTATCGCACAGTGAAGTACATTTAACATTCCCCCTCACATGCATAAGCACAAAACCCCAAGCACTTGTGCAAAGTAACTCTTCTGTCATTCTGCTCCTTGGAGCGCTCTAAATAAATACCATTGTATTGGAGTAGAGAGATATAAGAACAATTTTTCATGGAAAAGGCCTTGATTCTGAGCTGTTTTGGATATAGTGCTCAGTATCTTGGGATCTTAAGGGATCCTTAAGACCTTAAGGATCTGAAGTTTTGCTGCATAGTTGAAAGTCTAGTTCACAGAAATTAAGTACATTTCTTTCATCTGCTTAAGGTGAATTTATTTTTTAATTATAACTAGAAGAAATGTTTATTTGATAGAATAGGCTATTTTATATGCAAAATAATTTTAAAAAAAAGTTACCTTTAGAAAGAGTTCTGCTTAACAGTATAAGTACATGAAATCCTAATGTATTTTGCTACATTTGGCAGAAATTAGGATTTAGTCAGCAGCTTGGAGACTTTTTTAGATGAGTAGGAATTTACATGAATGAAACTTAATGGTCTTAAATATAAACAGTTCTCATAATCATACTAGCACCCAGCTCATTAAGAAGAATTATATAGAAGTCGTACACAGGGCTTTGCATTAGTGGTTTTTAGTATTAGTGCTTGTTATTAAAACAGTTTGCTGGATATCCAAATTAGAACAAAATGATGGAGATAATATTTAATAGATTAAAATACTAAAACTATAGAATGTTATTATCCTATTCCAGCTATTTCTGAAGATAGTTTTAGTCACAGTAGGTAGTGTTCTTACTGGGAAACTGTGGTTCTCAGCCAAAGCCATTGCTGATGAATGACAGCCTGACTTTGAAAACTGTTGGGCTATTTGAAGTCAAGAGATGTTTCACTAAAAAAAAACTGCTGCTGTGTGAATGGAAAGAGCTTTGGAAGTGCACTTTTTGTGGAGAACAAAGTGATGCAAAGGAGCATCGTTATCCATCTCTCCCCAGCAAGCTGTGCAGAAACAGACCATGTTGGCAGACAAAGTCGTTCCCCTGTGCTGTGCTGACTGCAGCCTTGTTGAATATACACTGAACTAAGACAGGGCATGTGTCTTTCTCCGTGCCTTAATGGCTTTATTGTTAGCTCCCAGAAAGCTAATTATAGCGTGTGACACTTTACGTTGGTGAGCAGGGTATTTTCCAGGACTACAGTTTAAGGTCATCTGTGAGAGTAGATTGTGGTGCGGACACTGGCAGCTAGCATACTCAGGGTACAGGCAGGTTGCTAAGGCTTGACAGACATCTGGACAAGAGAGCTTGTGAGGAAAAGGTGGGGAAACCACCAAAGGATTTCTGTATATATAGTACCAGAACCTCTTGCTTTTTTTTATTATTTTAGATTTTATATCTATTTTGAGGGGAAGATTACATTATATGGGTTTGAATAGCAGCCTTTTAACTGCCAGACTCAGTATATCGCTGTCAATCATATGTGGGCTTCTTATTGAAACTAAATTTTTTATTAGGCCTAACTCAGTAGAAGTTTGCAATAATAACATCTCTGAGGCACATGATCAAGAACACTTGTGAATATGTTTCTTCTGTACCTAAATCATGAGCCTTCTAAGTGGATTCCTTATTATGGTCTGTCATAATGATGTTGTTACTGACATAACTTTGTACATGGCAATTAATAGGTTTTAGCAGATAAAATAGAAATGTCTCTCAAAAAAAGTTTATGCAATGTGCATAGTATTGTGTCATTTAAAAGCCTGACAGCTTTGCTTTACTGTTTTGAAGACCTGCCTCAGCAGTGAGGAATAGTATGCCTTCCCAGGTTGTATAGAGGAGAGGTGTTTTCTTCATTTTTCTAAGTAAAGGGAAAAAAAGAACTTAGCATTCTGGAGGCAAACATGAGCATCATATACACTGAGTATCACATCAACATGAGCCACATTTGCCCACGCTATGTTGTGGTGTGTCCAGAACAGCTCACATCAGCTCATGTGCTTGGATTTACTGTGGGTTTACAGAAGCAGGACTGAGAACAGAGCAGGATTTTTTGCTTCCCCAGAGATCACATTTTTGGCACCAGTTTTGGTTCTGTTTGTACTTCTGTCTAGCTTTTGGCAGTGAAATCTGTTCAGATGGAGCAGTTTGTTTAGTCAGCATTTTTTCTGTATTCAGTTTCTGCCCCGTATTCTTCCTTAATTTGGACAAACAAACAACCTCTGTGTGTGAACGTGAACTCCTTTGGTGCTCAGTGTTTGCTTGTGTTTTCTACAAATAATTTTGTCTTAACTTGTAGAAATATAATTCCATTTCAAAGCTTTCAATAAGCAGCTCACAGATGACGACTACTAGGCAAATGTTAAGGATTCATTTGATACGAGCAGATGGATGGAGCAAGATTCTCAGTTGTAATTCATGCAGAAAAAAAAAAAGCACCTTTCTCTAGCTATCTAATTTCCTCAAATTAATGTGTTTGGCTTCTTTGACTGGCTTGAGGGTCTTGCCTGAAATTATTACACTCTGTGAAAACACCCACACTGAAAAGTGTCTTCAGTGTCTGCAATACCAGTTTGGAAATTTATAGTAGCAGTTTTAGAAAGCCAAGCTTAGATATTTTAGTCCCCAAATCTTCCTTTTCTAGCTGTTACAGACAAAATAATGTTTGTGTATGGACAATACTGCCACTTATCACTGTTTTTAATTTTGCTTGGTTTGACTGAAACCAAAACCTGCTACTTGCAATCGGGTTTCTCCAGAGATTGTAAAGGTAACTGCCAAATGTCCAACGCCACAGTGATCAAATATGCCCTAATATTGCCTTTATTTGGTTTGAGCCTGTACTTCAAATAATCAAATGCTACTTTGC